TTCCAATACAAAATTCCAACACTAAACACATCGGCCAGCCAAATGAAAATCCATGGTATAAAATCCTCTACAAGGTTTTGGCTAAATTTTCTTCACAAGTACGAAGTCCTCTTTTGTCATGGCAACATTTATCTGCTGAAGTTTCGTTCAACCAATTTCCATCAGGTTTTATTTAGAATAGCTGATGTGCAAACATTCTTGTCTTGCATCATTTACGCATTGTGATGCTTGGATTCTTTTGCATTAAAAAATCCTTATGTTCTCTTATCTAATGCTAGATAACTGGCGATTTTATAAGTTTGAGTAACATCAGTTAATCATGCGAACACATAAAATGTCCATAAATGAGATAACTCAATCTCCTCTTCGTTCGTCGAATGCATGGCTCTTTCCCCATCATATTCATCAACCATATTCTTGGTTTTTCTAAAATAACTTATTTTTGAAAATAGTCTGAATTCTCATCTCATTCCTCCACATTTACGTTTTGGAAAATGCACCATTTTCCTGAAGGCTTCCAAGGATTCGTTCCATAAACTTTTAGCAATTTTGAAAGATTTGCTTCTTTGATGAGGTTTTAAAATTAATAATTCATATGTAGGAATTTAACCTCTAAGTTTCAGTTCCTTGATGTCTTCTCCCCCTTACCTCCTAATCTTTTCTTCTTTGTAATTCCCATCGTGAGCACTTGGCTTCATCAATTGCTTCTACTCAGTCAATGTGTATCACTCAGCGATTATTTCCCTAACGTGGTGCCATTGCATTGCAAGGCTAGTATCTATATCCGCCTCTCTCGAAAGAAATATTAACTTCTTATTCCACAATTTAAATCGTTGGCTCTGCACATTTGGAGAGTTGGTTATTGGCAGAGATTCAATTGTAGACAAATGTTCTCCCAATACACGATGAAAGAATTTCATGATGCGTGTGCCAAATGGCTATGCTTGGGCACATGGTTCCTTCATCTCCAGTTAATGTCCCTTTATTACTTACCACAAATAGAGGCAAACAAGAGCAGGGGGGGAGGA